TGATGAAGGACGCTTAAACAATTATAGTCAAATGAAAATGGAGATATGATGATGATCTGTGTAAATATTTGAGTTAAAATGTGTGAGTTAATATGAATTATGTTTGTTGTTGAAGAGATGCACGAGTCTTTTTGTAACCAACCAATACACTTTCTACAGCATATAAAGAAGGATGTTGTATTTCTTTTAAATTAAAAATAATTTTAAATTAAAACAATAATAAGGGAAGTTTCTGAAGCTATAAAAAAGATCAAATCATAAAAAGTACGAGGGTCAGATGGATTATTAGTGTCTTATTGCAAATGTTTTGAGAATGAACTTTTACAACTTCTGCAAAATATGATAACTCCATTTTACTGGAAAGAAAGATTGCAGAGACTTGGAAATAGCAGTAATATATAGAAACAAATAAGATCTGATTATAATGACAAATTATAGATCAATGTCATCATTGAATAAGTTGTTCACAACAATCCTAGTGTTGGAAGAAATGCCCTTCTGGATTCAGTTCTAAGTGGGGGAAAAGACACTGGAAACATGGAGGCTGCTTGGAAAGATGGTTTAATGGTGGACAGGATCACAGGGCTTGAGTTCCTGAGCAGAAAAAGGGCAGAGATGCTGAAATTCTGTTCTTTTATGCCCTCTCTGGGCTTTGAACTTGAGCTTGTATTCTGATTGGTTGTCAGATTCCCATGGGGCCATGCAGGGGCAAATCTGTAGGATGTCTCTGAGACTTGCTTGACTTGCTGGGTGATGATGTAATCTTCCCAGGTGTCATGTGGTGAGATGGGTAAAGGGTTAATGCTATCATGTCCTGAGGCCCATGCCTTAATCCCATCACCCTGGAGCTGAAGGGGGAGGTCTTTGTTATATAGAATAGACTGGCTCAGGTCTTAATGGCTCATTCACAAAGGTGGGGGGCAGTTGAGTTTCTGCCCCTCTTGAGTTTCTATTTCTCTTTTTTGAGGACATATTCTGCTTTTTCAAATATTTCATTTCTCTAGGAGAGGGGTGGGTTTTAACTTCCAACACTAGTCAATAGACAGAAAGTAATCTTGCAATAATTTATTCATGAAGATCAGCGTGTGTGTGTGTTTTAATTTAAAAGACAGTTTAGAGAGTCATGGAGTCTTCTAATCCAAAACCTGCCCAAGGCAAGAATCCTCAGAACATCTCAAATGATTGTCCAATCTTTTCTTGAAAACCTCCAGTAATGGAGGACTCACAGCTACAGGATGTAAGCTGTTCCATTGCTTAATAATTCTGTCAGGAAATTCCTCATTTCCCGGTTGACTCTCTCTCTGATGAACTTCTCTACATGTTCTCATATTATCTTCAGGTGCTGGTGGAAATTAAATCAACCCCCTCTTCCCTGTGGCAACCCTTCAAGTGCTATTATGTTTCAGTCTTCTTTTCATAAAGCTTAACATACCTAGTTCCTTTAGCCATTCTTCATAGCGTTTAGCCTCCAGATCCTTTATCAACCTAATTGTTCTTCTCTGCACTCTTTCTAGGATCTCAGCATATCTTTTGTATTTTGATTACCAAAACTGGTAATCACAGGGCAGTATAGAGTGGAACTGTCCCCTCCCCTAATCTTGATGCTATCCCTCTTTTGATGTAACCCATGACTGTGTTGGCGCTTTTTTTTTTGACAGCTGCAGCATATTGCTGACTCATAGTTAAGCAGTTGTTCACCAGTTAAAAGAGGATGTCAGAAGTGGACATTCTAGCTTGTGTAAAACAGTGAAATAAAAATCAAGCTGCATCAGTGTTGTTGTTTTTTTTAGATGCAGAGAAAGCTTTTGATAATCTGATATGATTTTTTTTTTCATATTAAAGCTTTAGGAGATATGCTGTTCGAAGAAAACTTTATAAATTGAGTAGAGTTGATCTGCATGTCATAAAAGGCACAAATTATTGTTAATGGAGAAACTATATAAAGGGACAAGATAGGGCTACCCCTGTCTCTTTTGGTTTTGAATAGAGACAATACAAGATGATAGGATAGTGGGAATAAAAATTTAAGAAGAAACACCCAGTTGAGAGCTTTTGCAGATGATTTGGTGCTGGTTTTGGAAGATCCCTTAAAAGAAATTGAATTATTAAATAGGAAAATTAAAAGAATTTGTTGCATTAGCTGATTTCAAAATTAACAAACAGAAGACAAAAGATATTACCAAGAAATCAGTAGATCCAGATCAAATAGACACGATGAATAAAATAGGCTTTAAAATCAAGAAGATAAAATACTTGTATATCAACAAATATGAAATGCTAGTTTAAACTAAGTCCCCTGAAGATATGAAGTTAAAAAGATATGTGAAAATGGTCAATATTGAAGAGAATTTCTGTGATTAAGAAGAATTTATGTCTAGAATACTATTTTTGTTTCAGAAAATATCCATTTTAACAACTGATGTACCATTTAAACAATGGCAGAAAGATACATTCTTGTGGCATGGAAAAAGCATTAGTTAAATATCAGGTATGGCAGAATGCAAACGAAAGAAGAGGATTGGGTCTGATCTAAAATTATACTTTGCAGCTAACTCTTTCGTTTGGAAGGAAGTAAATGATGCTATGAAAGTTAGAAGGGCATGATTTGGGATTCGGGTAGCAAGGATGCTTATGGTACAACAAAGCTAAGGTTAATGTAGATTTTAAAATATTTTTTTAGGCATTTCATATTGACAATATGAAATAGTTGTAAACTCAGGTTGTGTTTGAAAATACCTTTGTGACTCTCAGCACAAGAAATATTTCATAGATGAGAAATTATAAATAAATACAAATGGTTAACTTATTTTTCACAGGTTAGAATTTTGTAACGGAGACTGTAAAATAAAAACAAGAGAACGAGTGGCAAGATATACTTTCTACGGTATATTGCAGATCAGTTGACTCTGCTGGACCAGCATTGTGGGAAATACAGGGTTCTATCAAATTTTACTACTAAACAGCAGTACTTCTTACATTATTTAAACAATAGGAACACACACCAATTAGTATCAATTATGTAATAATATTGTGATTATATTAGTGCAATCAGTTACTTTCGCACAATGCCATAACAAGCAATAACTTCCTCACATAACAGCAGCAGCAACCAGAGAATTCTCAGAAGTTATTCCACTGTGTTTACTTTGAACAGGTGCAGCAGCCAGTGAGTTCACATAGCATGAAAAGTCAGTTCCAAGCAAACAATATTACTGCTGAGCATAATTCATGAATCAGATTAGAGCTGAAATTGTTTTATCCATGGCTGAATCCCGTGTCATTCCATTAATATTCAAATAATTGAATTCTGCAAAAGATGCCAAATTAATATTTGCAAAGGCTGACGCATGGATTATCTTGCCTTAATTCTAGGAAAGGGTAGAAGAGACCAGGAAGATGATAGGCCGGTGTGCACTGTTTGCCCCCATCCCCACCTCTCTGCATCCATACATGCTCTTAAAGCGCTACCCAGTAAAAAATTAGCAGCAAAAATAGCATTTTAGCAGCATTTTTATTTATTTTTAAAAGTAGACAATAGCAAAAAGCATGACTTAAATTTAAAAAAAAACCTTCCTGGAGAAAAAAAAAGAGCCAAGCATTTTAGTTCTACCGTTTCTAAAGTTTTTGTTTCTTAGTTAAAAAATAAATTGCAGGTTCCAGTCAAATCAGGTGCCCACCATTAAAAGCAGTTTACATTGCTCAATATTTTTGTGTATTTAGATCTCCTAGTAAGGATAAGTAGTGATACACAAACAATTGAACTGCAGGCTTATTGTCTTTATTCCATTAACAAGTAGTCCACATTTAGTGTCTGCCTCAGACAGCAACCATTTGCAGTGACGACAGAGATGAAAAAGTAATTTTTTAAGCAATAGCACTTTATATACTTTATATATAATAGATTTATATACTGCTTCATAGTGCTTTACAGCCCTATCTTAGTGGTTTACAGAGTCAGCATATTACGCCCAACAATCTGGGTCCTCATTTTACCAACCTCGGAAGAATGGAAGGCTGAGTCAACCCAATTCTTCATTTATAATTTTTGGAGGTCTGTAACGCAAAGCTGAAGTAAGATCTTATCAAGTTGCCAGTCCCATTGGTAGATGCTAAAAAACCACTTCCTGTACAGAATATTGACAATATATTGAAGGAGTCACTCTTAATAAGCTTGATAAAGGCCAGGCAATGCCCATATCAGGGGTAGGATTCAGCTGCTTCGGATCGGTTTGGGCGAACTCCCTGAACCGGTAGTTGCAAGAACTGGCTCTCCCCACTCACCCTGCCCCTCCCTGGAGTCTCCATGTGGCCAATTCATCATGCCAGGTAAATGCAAGGCCTGTGTGGAGGCTCTGGGAGGGTGAAAAACAGGCCTCCTGAAAGTTCTGGGGTGTGTGTGTGCTCCAGAGCCTGGGGAGGGCAAACACACACACACCCCCGGTGCAGGAGGCCGAGTAGGCCATGCCCACCCAGCAACCGGGCAAAGAACCGGTTGCTAACATTTTTCAATCCCACACCTGGTCCATATGTAAGACCCTTGATACATATTTTGAGTTGCTGGATACTATCTACCTATCCCTAATAGAAGTGCCAGCAGAGATGGCTAAAATAATTGGATCCAACTCACTCACAACTGTAGATAAAATAGATGAGATCATTGTTACTCTTGACTTATGATGGACAATGATTTCTATTAAGTTTTTTTCACTACATAAAGGTAAAGCTGGTCTCAAGTTGAGTTTGACTCATGATTCTGCAGATACAATCATAATTTCCTGCTAATATAGAAGTATTTTTTTCAAGCTATTTTTCTACACTCCTACACCTTTAGTATTCCCTAGTGGAGTCCCATTCAACTATTAACCAGATCTGGCCCTGCTTAGCTTCAAGCAAAATGCTGCCATCTGGTGATACTGTTGCTGCTCTGCATGTCATGAATTTGGTCTTGACATCTATATTAGCCATAATGGTTTATCATACAAAGATATAGGAGACAAAAATGTATTTCATAATTAATTTATTCAGAATTAATGTCCTCAAATAAATTACCTATATTTTACAAAAAGGAAAAACAACTGACATAAACAGTACAAGGAAATTTGAGAAAATAAAGACAACCAGGACTAAATGGAAAAGGGAGTCAGTTCAACATGAGATAAAAGCAGGGGTTTAAAGAACATACTTTGCTTCTATGAGAAAGTTACCATTTAAACTTCAAACTTTCTGAACAAGACAATTTAATTTATCATAGTAACTATCTGAACTATTTGAAATAATATGAAATTGCACACACGCACACACAGATGGATCAGTCTTCCAGTAATGAGTGTTCAGAAAGTTATGGCCTCAAAATCAAAAGGTTCCAATTAGATAATATATTTATAATTATCTGTTAAGTACACATACATATATTTGAAATATTTTTAAAGATCACATTACATGAATAGTTTTAATCATGTTTTAACAAGCAATTTTATCATGACTTGTCATCTGATATCATTGATGATCCTAACTTCTATCAAATAGAGGTATTTCCTTCTTTGTACTATGCATACTTTTATAGATTTAGATTGTCCATTTTATTTTGTAAAATAAAAAAATTCCCACTATTCTATCTTTTTTGCGTATGAAAGATGTGGTACTTCGATCATTTAGGTACTCTTTTTACTTGTTTTCCCCCCTACCCAGTCAAATTTTACAGAATGAGTAGAATTTTTTTTTTAATTAAAACAAATGACTGAAAACCCCTTCTCCCTAAACTGATATTTGTAATAGGATTTATATTTTATTTATGCATTTAAATTGCAAATAACGGCTGAAGCACAAAACTATATTCCACAATTATAACTAATGATTGGAATGTAAATTTTGATCCCCGCCAAATAGTCTGCAAGTGGAATATTAATATCATTTTCCAAAATAGACGAATGTAGTGTATGCAAATGTACCATCAGAAATGTATCATTGTACTAGTCCTCTTAATTGCTTCGTGAGCTGCTATATAAATGTATCTTTCCAGAAATCCATATATTATTATTTCCAGATAATTACCTGTAGATCATTTAAAATGCAAAACCTTTTTTTAACTAAAAGTGTTGAAGAAATTTAAAACTTTAGCTTTTACATTCTCAGATATGAAGTACAGGTAGCCCATGACTTACAACCAAAGTTGGGGCTGGAACTCCTGCTGCCAAGTGAGGCAGTTATTAAGTTATGCCCAATTTTATAACCTTTTCCCATGATCTTTAAGTGAAACATGTGATTGTTAAATAAAACTGACGTCCCCATGAACATTGCTTGTCAGAAGCCAGATTGGCAGATCCCAAAATTGATCATGTGATCACAAAAGGATCTTGGTACTGTTGTAAATACATGTCAGTTGTCAAGTATCCAAATTTTGAACACGTGAATGCTCTGACATCATAAGTGTGACATAAGTAACTTTTTTCAGCGCTGTCATAACCTTGAATGGAAGAGACCTTGAAATTTTGATCTCTAGAGCCATAATGAATTTTTGTCATATTCCAATATAAATTATTCAGTTAAACTATAGAAATGCTGGCATAGTACTGAATCTCTTTATTATGTAGTGGCAAATAGAGTCAACAATCCTTTCAGAAAGGAAACTATTTCATTGCCTCCTAGCTTGGATTCTCCGTAGACTCGATCCACAAATGATATTGGAACCTATTAAATGAAAAAATAAAATCATTTCAGTTATAAGAACCAATAAAAATATAAATAGGAACACTTCACCTCAAGATTCAATGTTTATCTACCAACATGTAATGGAATGTCTTTTGATGCAGAATATGAAGTGATAGCTGTCTCACATTTAAATATGCTTAGAGAACATTTCTTACAAAATCATTGTTACAAAACAGCCTACCCAGAACCTGAATATGAAGATGGTATGCACTAGAAGTCTAAAAAAATCCACCATATTCGGGACTGTTTCTCTCTCTCTGATTATTATGATCTTTCAAACACTGCCAACAACTCTCCGTTTACTCAAGTTGCAAATCATTTAATTTTGATAGTTGCTTCGCTATAATCTGTACTGCTTGTTTTAGTACTGTTTTATGATGTGATATAATTGTAAACTTTTAAATAAATTAGACAAAATAACCAGGTTCCCTTTAAATCTATTAAAGTATCTGTATCTTCCTTATGTTGAAATGAAATCCATCTTTCTTATTTTGAAATGAAATTCATTATTGTTGCTACAATACAGCATAACAACTTCCCACTTTTCAAAGGTACCCAGTATATATCTTACTGAATACAGTATCCCTGTGTATAATAGAACAAAGGTATATATTTTAGTATTATGGTGGCTAGTATATCTATCTTAAAGAAGTATAGATTCCCAATTTAGTGGTAAATTCATATAAACTTATGGAAATTACTCTTTTTCTGATTTTTGCAGAACAAGGTCGTATAATGTCTCAAAGGGCCAAAACTATAAAACATTCTTACTCTCAAGGGATATTGACTTGCATTGCTTTCTTTTTATAGCAAATATCTGAAGTAATGCTTTTGTAAAATTACACAGGGTTTCAATTCACTAACTGTTCATTAAATATAGACAACACTGTTTTTGTAATATTTTAAACTACAGTTTATTTTCAGTACAGCAAAACAAGAATGGTAACATTTTAGCATGTAATATGTTAAAATTCTCCAAAGCCCAAATTGAGCCTTTGGGATTCACAGGAAAATCCAATTAGGAATTTTCAGTAAGCATACACCACTAGAAATCAACTGGCAACAGAAACAGAGAAAAAAATTCCTACACCCAAATTTTTCTGCCAAACATATATTATATTTCTATGCATATTTATTTTTAGCAGTGGAAATTCTGATGAAGAATGCTTTGTAAATCTTCTGTTGACACACAGCAGACATTGGCATAAATTCATGAGCAAGCATGGCTAAAGGATTCAAGAATCCCAAATTGGAATGAAAGGTATAGAATTTTTACACTAAATAGGATACCCAGACATTGCTAATTTAACAACTAGCAAAGTAATCTACAATATGTAATACAGATGAAGCCCAAGATACTAAACATCTTGATGGACTTCAGCCAGTTGGGCAGACGTAAGGAAGGAACTGTGTTTCACTGCTGGTTATGGGGCAAATCAGAACAATTTTTTACCCTTTCCCAAACTGGTAAAAAAATCTGGCTGCTTTAAAAAGTTAAGTTTTAGTGCTTTTGCTTTTTCACTCTACATTGCTAAGAGTCTAACAAATGCAAAAATGATATAAGAATTTTTAATAAATAAAGATATCTTCTCTATAGAAGCAGTACCCACTTCTTTTGTGACCTGAAACTTGGTGAAATTTAACAAGTGATAAAATATTAGACAAAGATTTATTAGGCACAATACTAGGGCCTTGGTAATTAAAATATAGGCCCTTAGAAATTATGCTTTTTTTAATATACCATGGCAAAGACATGAATAACTTTCACCTTCACTACATGACTACATGACATTCGACCAAATTTACCCTGATGCCAGAATATTAGGGAGGATGTATTAGTTAATTGTAGAAGCTATGGTGGCATGAGCCATGGTGGCGTAATGGTTACAGTACAGTACTGCAGGGCTATTTTTGCTGCCTCCTGGTTACCTGCAATTTGGCAGTTTGAATCTCATCAAGCTCAAGGTTGACTCATCCTTCCAAGGTTGGTAAAATGAGGACCCAAATTGTTGGGGGCAATATACTGACTCTGTAAACCGCTTAGAGAGGACTGTAAAGCACTGTGAAGCAGTATATAAGTCTAAGTGCTATTGCTATTAAGCTTTTCTTTGAATTTAAGTGGATACCTTTCTCATCCCCTGCATCTTTAAATGATAGAAGAAATGTTCACATTATAACAGCACCTCTTACTTGATCATAGTCATTAACAGTCAGGTTCATCATCTGATTAACTTTGTGATGCTATGGCCAATTAGCAGTTGTGTTTAAACTACTGAGTAAATCAGTAATTAAGATGTTAATGTAAGCTATTCATGCTATAAGATCTTATCTGAATCCTCAGTGTTTTTACTTGTCAATCAATTCACTCTAATAACCAGAAGGTAAACTTTGAGCACAAAAATGTAAATGTAGTATGTTCTTTATGCTTTAGATTTTTAGCATACCTCTCCAATAGAATAACCCAACTGTCTGGCCCGGACAATCATTTCCATTTGGAAAACATATCCTTTTGAAACACATTTCTCCATCAGTTTCTGTAGAACCTCTTTTCTATATAACCTGAAATTTAGTGCACATAAATGAAAATGTTTACAACAGCTCAGTTACAGGTACACACATTTTCAAGTAATAAATTAGTAGTAAAAAAAGAATAATTAATAGCAATAATCTCTATGCAGGTGCCTCCCAGATGTTATCTAAGTTTTACAAGTTCAGTAGATCTCTTTATCAATCTCAGACTGGCCGTTATCCTGAAGCATTCTTGCTGATCATGAATTATTATGTGCCATTTAGAAACCGGCTTACCTGAAGCTTCCTGTTAAATCTGATGCACCTGGCCGTAATAGAACTTGGGTTAAAAAGTTGGCACCTCGGCTGCAAAGTAAGATACAATGTTTTAATATGCAAATCAGAATTTTAAAATGATCAATTAAACCATGTTTTAAAGATGTTTTATTAAAGGATCAGAGTAACACAGTGATAGTTTACATTAACAAAATATTTTTAAGCCCAACTCTGCTGTATACCTGAAATATATGGCCCAAGGCTAGTTCAATGTTTTGTTTCTTCCAAACGGGATGGAGACATAAATGTCTCCTACCATTATTTTCTGCAATTAGTATATTAGTATTTTGAGGTAAGATGTCTCCAATCTAGATAATATTGATAATATTTTCAAGAATGTTTGAAAAATGTGTTTAGTTTCAGAATATCCCATGTGGAGAATACGTTTATGAAATAGAAATGGATAAAAAGATGTGTAAGATGTGTAGTTGGGCTGGATAGAAATAAGAATTTTTTCTTCAATGTTCTCAGAATTAAAGAAATCTTTTTAGAATCTGTCTCTGGCATTGATTCAGAGAAAGAAAATGGACAGTTTCATGAGATGATTTTTGCTAGTGGTACAGGGCTATAGATGAAACACTGACCTGATCAATTTCCGTTTTAGATCCCATCCATGCACACCTCCATTTCCTTTATATCGAGTCCCAGACACAATATCAAAATTTCCTTCTTTCTGTTTTCTACAGAAATAATAATTGGATAGAGAAAAGAAAGTGTTTTTTCCCTGAATTACAAACTCACATATTTAGTACATCAATAATCCAGAAACAGGTAATACACCAATGATACTAAAACATTTAATGTGCAATACAACAATAAAACAAACTAAAAATTAATACTTTTTCATCTTCAAAGTATGGTTAGAGCTAGAGAATAAAACTATGATATACTTTGAGCAATGCAGGTATTTGATAAGCAATTTAAATGAGCACAAAGTAAATAAATAGCAGAAATCTACAAGCAAATACACAGAATATTAGGGAATTATGTTTGTAAATAATGTTATTTTTATTATGACCTATTTATCAAACTAGTTCAGGTATGGCATGCCACCTCATACTCCATAATTAAAAGATTACAGTAGTGTGTAGATTGAGATATTACACATTCATACATTTTTCCTTTGACTATTTCATCAGCTGTGGTGGCCTGTGGTGACCAAAAATCCAAATGAATGGCAGCATCTTTTCTGATGAACCATTTTATTGAAAGGCCAAAATTCTGATGAACTGTAATTCACTTCATCAGATGTATGACATAGTTAAATTGATGTAGGATTTGAAAAAGGCTGTGCAGTAGGTGAGGAGAGCACAAGCAGTTACTCACATGTAGATTACATGGAAATCACTTTACAAGAACCTTGCCAATTATATGTCGCATTAAAGTGACATGAACATAGTAAATTATAACAACAAATAAGAAACAGAAGAAACAATGTACTTTCAAAATTCCTAGTATTCCAACAGGTCCAAAGTGTTTGTGAACCTTCCTTACATTTTTGAAACAAATGACTTATTTCCAAAACTCTCTCATGAAAGAGTTCAGCCAAAATCTCTTGAATGGGAAGTAATACATCATATTACATTGAAAAGCTATGCAACACAACTGCATTATCTTCTACAGTGCAGTTTTGTAACAGCGTGGTGTATATTTCCTCTGGTATTCAATCTTATTGTCTATCCCTACCAAAAATAAACACCACAAAGGGCTAATAAACTATAAGGTCTGGCTTTAAATATTAAAAATGCTACTCACTTGATAAACTCTGGAATAAATTTGGGCTGCAAGGAGAAAAAAAAAGGTATGAGGAAAAGCAATAAAAACAAAAATAATAAAATAAATGATTTTTTTAGAACATAATAAATAGTACCGAGACCATCAGATTGAGAAAGTTTGGGAAAATGAGCGGGTTAAGATCTTATGGGAAGTTAAATTCAAAGAGACAGGCATCTTATTCATAAGCTAATATTGGCCTGTACCACTCAATCTAGCAGAAGGGACATGCTGTGAGCTCCGTTAGTCAAAAGGTCTCAGCTGGCAGGGTCTTAGGAGGAGAGCTTTTTCGGCCATGGCCCCGCTCTTTGAAATAGGTCTTCCCCCACCCTATTAGCCTTCTGGAAGGACATTAAAACCTAGCTCTGTCTGTTCGCCTGGGGTCCTGATGGGGGTGGTCTTTGCTGGAGGTGAAGGATACTATTGTATTGATTTTGCCTTTTGCCTCTTATTTTCTGCTTTTTCTGTTTTTATATGTAAGATTTTAATTGTTAAGTCTCCCAGAGTTACTTTGCAGTGAAATGGGCAGCATATTAATTCAATTTGTGATGGATTAATTAATTAAAAGTTATTAAAAAGAATAAAATCTGATTCATTCATGCTGCTAGGTTATGCTAGGATTGATTATGCTAGATTATACTAGGATTGAGGAAAAACAATCAGAAAAAAATAGAAAATATTAGAATTTGCAGATTGTAGTTGAACACCTATGGAACAAGTAATCCCTTGTTATTAATTGTAATTGGAGTTCTCAAATAATACCTAAACAACTTCCGTGATATCTGGAAGTACTAAATTTTCTAGGCCTGAACACCCTAATTTTGAAAACAGAAACAACTGCTTGGACCTCCCTATAGTCTTAGATGCCACTTCAATCATTCTTGGGCCCTTGGTTAGGACTTGAATTTTAAGTTTTCACTTGTCCTAGATGGTGAGTCTAACCGTAGATTACCCATGCATAATAATAATTTATTAAATTTATATCCCATCTAATTTCCAACGATTCAGGATGGTTTACAATTCTAAAACATTTAAAAACAAATAAAAGAAAATAAACCCATAGGGTTTCCATAGAAAGGAAGAAAGAGCCATCAGTTGTCCTTTCCAAAGGCTTGAAGAAAGAGCCAGATCTTTAAAACACTTCAAAATACAGGCGGGTGAAATAATCAAGGCGAATGAAATAAAGAAAATGTTTAGGAAGAAAAAAATAGAGGAGAGCAATCTTACATGGTGTGAGAGATCAGCATCCATAATAATAATGAAGTTTCCTGTGGCATGTTTCATTCCATGAATGTAAGCAGTTCCTGATGTAAACAATATAAAAGCCATGACTCCCCTCTCCTTTAACAATCATGTACATGAATAAAATGTTTCTGACATTAAGTCAAATAATTTCATTTCTATGTATCAAATATGATAGTTTCTTCCCATCTCATAAATTCTGACAAGATCTGGGTCCCATTGATTAAACAGCTTGGTAGGGGCCTTGTCTGTCTTGGGCATCTGCCGTCTGGAGTTTCCTCCCACCAGAGATTCATATAGTTCCAATCCTAGTCCAGTTAGAACAAATGGTAGATCTCTTGTGGAAAAAAATGTTTTTGTGTACAGACTTTTAAAAATGAAATATTCCGTTTTTATTTTTGTTGTAAGCCAGCCAGCTCATACAGAGGGGCTGGGGGGGTGGTAGAGACCTATAAACTCCATAAAAATATTTTAAAAAATATATTCCACTATGTAAGAATCCCATTATGCCTCTCTTCTGTTTATATATCTACAAAATTAACACTTGCTACTTTTCATGTGACTATTAATTTCTTACATGACAGTGTCATTAATTCTGAGTAGCAACAAAACTAATTTTGTACGTTGCCAAATGAGTGTGTACATTTTCTGCTTTTCTGGTTCTCAAAAAACAATGCATGGAATTAGCAGCAAAATTAGATTCTGATTTAAATTCATTTTTGAAAAATAAAGTCGACTGAAGGTTAATGTACAAGGGTAGATTAATACAATATTGTTAGTCATCTCATTACTGACTACTTACCCAATCCAAGTTTCTTTGCTCTGGGTCTCAACAGCTGTAAAGTATAAGTAAACACACAAAAAAGATGAACCATACTAAACTCTGATTAATGATCATGTACTTCCAATAAAATTTCATTATTGCTCTTTTGCTCTTCCTCAAATAGAACTACTATATAATTTTAATTTGTATTTCCCCCACATTTAATTTACCTAAAGTAAATCTACATATTTCCCCACATATTTTATATGATTCCCTGAATTTAGAATGTATAAGAAATACTTTTATCTTAACCTTATAATAATAATAATCTCTCTGTATTTAAATATAGGTGGACATATTTAGGACTAGTTGTCTTCCCCTTCCAGTTCCTGCAAGTGAAGTACCTATTTCAAAGAAGACTGTCCGGATAATAACCATGACATAAACAATCAATAGGTAGCCTTCAACTTATGACCATAATTGAATTGGAAATACGATCATTAAGTCGTGCTGGTCATTGTGACTGACCTGATTTTACAACATTTTTGCAGCAGTGAACACAGTGGTTATTAAGTGAACATGATGGTCATTAAGTGAACAGCACACTAATTAAGCAAACCCATTGCCTACCAGGGGTGTTCTTTTTTAAAGAAACTGGAAGTAAGTGAGGGATGACAAAGGGGGGAAAAGTAACTTACAATTTTGTCTGATCCATAAATCTTTATTAACTGGTCAGCAACTTCCTGCGTCCCATCTGGGCTTCCGTCATCTATAATTACAATTTCGAACTCATTCCCACTGAAAAAAAGAATTATTTTGTAAAGTCAGGTCCAAAATGGAGCCAATTTCTAAAGGTGGAAAGAATAGAATAGGAATAGGAATAGAAATGGAAGGAATTTGTCTTTGGTGCATATGCTGCTCTCAGTGTACATAAAAAGACAAGATACATTCATCAAGAATCATAAGGGAGAAGAATCCCCAATGGTGTCCCGTTGAAAGCAACTGTAGTCATGAATCCTATTACATTTATTTGGAAAGTCACATTTACTGTAATTTACTGTATCATGTTTTTTCTTGGCAATAGTGTCATGACAACAGTACTGGACCTAGACTCGAGGCTCTAGGCTCCAAGCCCTCCCCGCCCCAAACTAACAGGTTCCCTGTTCCAATACAAAGGCCTCGCGGGGGCTGCTCTTCGGATGAGTCTTCCGCGTTCAGCTGGCAGAGAAACGGAGGGGAGTTGCAGTAAATCAAATCCAGCCCAAGTCAGTAAAGTCGCCAAGGAAATATCAATTTTAACAGTAACAGCGTTGGAAGGGACTTTGGAGGTCATCTAACCCAACCCCCGGCTCACGCAGAACACCTGTACTAGGGATTCGAACCGCCGACCTTCGGATCGTCGAGCTCAACGTCTTAAGCTACTGAGCCACCAACCCATAATGTTCGAGGACCTGGGAACACACTTAGCAAAGGCTACCCCTCCCACAGGCCGCTCTCCCGCTGCTCCAGTCACCTCTCCTTGAAGCTGTTCACCAGCAGCCAGACCACCAGGGGAAGATTCTCGCGCTCGTTGTAGGTGGGCAGCAGCACCGAGTACTTGCGGGCCGCGGTCGCCATGACGGAGCACGCGCGCGCGCGCCCGCTCAACCGCCGATCGCGCCTGCGCATTAACCGCCAGTCGGTGGGCGGGGAGGAGGGGGCGTGTCCACGGCGTGTCCCTCGGAGTCGGAAACGGAAGGAGGCCACGCTCGCCGGCGGAGGAAGAAAGCCGCTGCGATGCAAGCCGAGAAGGCCGCTCAGTTTTCCCGCGAGGAGGACTCGGCGGATGACGGAGGCGGCGATAGGCCGGATTCTTCCGCCCTCCAGGCGGGACTGAGCCGGCTGGATATCCAGCGCTACTCGCGGCAGTTGGTGTTGCCGGAGCTGGGCGTGCGCGGGCAGCTGCGGCTTTCCTCGTGCGGGGTGCTGGTGGTGGGCTGCGGAGGGCTGGGCTGCCCGCTGGCGCAGTACCTGGCCGCGGCGGGCGTGGGCCGCCTGGGGCTGGTGGACCACGACGTGGTGGAGCTGAACAACCTGCACAGGCAGGTGCTGCACCGGGAGAGCCGCCTGGGCCGCTCCAAAGCGCAATCGGCCGCCGCCGCGCTGAAAGAGCTGAATTCCGCCGGGAAGTACGAGCCTTACGACCTGGCGCTCAGCCCCGCCACCGCCTTGGATCTGATCCGCACTTACGACATCGTGGCCGACTGCTCCGACAACGTGCCCACCCGCTATCTGGTCAACGACGCTTGTGTGCTGGCTGGCAAGCCCTTGGTCTCCGCCAGCGCCTTGCGCTTGGAGGGCCAGCTGGCTGTGTACAACTTCCAGGGAGGTCCATGCTACCGGTGCCTCTTCCCCAAGCCCCCTCCTCCTGAAACGGTCACCAACTGCGCCGACGGCGGGGTCTTGGGCGTGGTGCCCGGCATCCTCGGTTCCCTGCAGGCCTTGGAGGTGCTCAAGATTGCCTCCGGGATGGGATCCTCCTTCAGCCGGTCGATGCTGCTCTTCGATGCGCTTGAAGGACGGTTTCGCCACATCCAGCTCAGGCCCAGGGATCCCAAGTGCGCTGTGTGTGGGGACCGACCCTCCATGACTACCTTGCAGGATTATGAAACTTTCTGTGGGTCTTCAGCCACCGATAAGTGTCGCACCTTGCGCTTACTGTCCAGCGAGGAGAGGATTTCTGTAGAGGAATACAAGAAGATTCTAGAAAACCAGGTTGCTCATGTGCTGGTGGATGTGCGTCCCGAAGTCGAAGTGGAGATCTGTCGCTTGCCCAAATCCCTCCAGGTGCCTTTAAATAAACTAGAAAGAAAAGATGAAGAATGTTTGAAGTCTCTGTACCGGAAGATACACGAAGAGAAGGAGAGGACCAATGGCAGTGTGGCTTTCCCAGTTTATGTTGTCTGTAAATTAGGAAATGACTCTCAGAAAGCTGTGAAAATATTGCAGGAACTGCTTTATGATGAACTAGGCTTAATTTCAGTTAAGGATATCAAAGGAGGACTCATGGCATGGGCTGACAAAATTGACCAAGATTTTCCTCAGTATTAATGTTTTTTTAAAATGCATTTTAATAATAATAATAAAAATACCTTGGTTTTTTGGAAAGGGGGTTATTGTTATAACAAGGTAATATGTTTATATGTTCATTTGGTTATCTCTGGAAATCTCGTTTAGTTCTTTGAATAAATACTTTTTAAAAAGTATTTCTCAAGAGTCCTAGGTTCCACAAGAATTTGAGAGATTAATGGTTGATTTGGATATAGCCAAATCTGTTGAAGAAAAGGCAGGACTTGTACTGCGAAAATGCACTACAGCTGCTATTTTGTTGCAAGGAGTTCCAGGAACATTTTTAAAAATATGTTCTATGGCCTGAAAAGGTTTTAGAATTCTTGCTTTAAGTAAGTCACCCGAAGCAACTTGGGTGGGAGAGAAAATAACCCTCTCCGTGTAAAGAGGAAGGAATATGAAAGGAGGAAAAAAGTTGTGGATCAGTTCTTCAAGTTCTTAAATAATGAACAAATGAATGCAATACATGCTAAAGAGAAGGCTGGATGGAATGACCCTGTTTCACATTTATTTTCCTTTTGTAGCTTGACCAGTAATTATATTGTACTATAGTACATACAAACCATACAAAAGATGTATTTGTATAAATGCATTGTCCAATATTTCCAGGACCAAATACTGCTGATTTAATTGTATCCTTCCTTGATTTCCTGTTGAATCCAAAGGGACCATTATGTGTCTTTTAATATTGTCACTTTATATTATTAAATTATACCATAACTTTCATTAGCACATTAAGTTATAGTCCTTGAGTACTTCCTTTTTTTTAAAAAAAAAAATCTGCATTGATATGAGAACTCATCAGCAGGATTGGAAGACCGGTAAACCATCTCATGAATTACTCCTTAGCAGTTCTTCGTTAAGAGATGCTGGGGCTTCAGGTATCAAAATCTCTTCAAAACAAAAAGCAATTGATAGCCTCTATAGAATTTGACCAGTCCTCTTCCGAAACAATTAGAGAATAGAATAGAATCTTAATTATTGTCACTTTACATGTACACTAATCAGCAAACATTAAAATGAAATTTTGTTGCATTAATCTCTCCAAAGATAACCATTATGCACACACACGCACACACACACACAATAGAGAAACATCAAAGTTTAGTTCGACTATATAGATATGCATGGTGGGGGAAAAAACCTGAGCATACAAGATGGCATAAGGAACAAAGCTGTTATAGAATCTAGTACTACTTCAAAATGATATAAACCCAATTCACTGATGAATAAATAAATGAGTAATCTATACTCTGTTGGCACTAAATTCTATATTTTTTTAACTATACTAAATGTTTTAGAGATGCACCTGCCTTATAGTGCCTTTTAAATAGGGAAAGGGGTACAATTATACTTCAGCAATTAATATTTAACTAGGATCGAGTGATTTTGAGTTCAAATCTATAATTGAATTATGATTCTCACTATATAAGTGACTTTTGCCATCCTTATTTTTCTTGTGTTTGTGAAAAATAATCATTTTGTGGAGGGGAAAGGAAACATTATTCTCTTGTCCTGAGCTTGTTGGAAAAAACTGATGTGGTTTTAAAAAACGTGAACGCCACCATTTCCCGTTTTGAGTAAAGGTGTGTCTGCTAGTTTCTTGTTTATTAGCTTTCCAAAACCCAAAGCAGAAACTTCCCTTTGAGATTCTGTCCTTTTATTCTTCCCTTCAGTGATCAGTTTAACCTTAAAACACATAAGATCAGTCTTTGCTCCCAAAATGTACACCAATAGTCACATATTTCATTCACAATGCACCACAAAAATAAAGACAGCAGAGAGCCTTGTCCCATTCTCTCTGCTTTTCTAACTTTCTGTATTACAGATTAGTTCCAATTTTATTCACAAAAAGTCATAGCTGCTAGAGAGCTACATCTATTTTTGGGCAGGAAGGTTATATTCTAATTTAAAATTCTTGATCTCATGATTGTAATTTAAAATATTAATGATTCCAACTACCAACTGAAGCCTATCTAGGAATTGAAGCAATGCCTTAAATCCTAAACTAAAGTAAATCTTTTATTACAAAGTTGCTTTGCTTTATTTTCTGTTAAGAGGACTTTGAAAAGCATGACAAGGATTTAGCTTTTTATTTGATGTCAATGCAAAACTACACTGAAGATTGTGGTATTTCATTGTAAACTAAAGAACTGAGGAATTATTGATGGAGAATGATCGTTATTCAGATGTTCAACAGATGCACTCAAGGAGATAGGGATTCTGCTGTTGTTTCCATTCTATCTACCTGCACAAATGCTGCAAAAATGTTTACAACAGTGCTTCCAAATTACTCATGTGTGACTCATCTGTGTGATTAAGAAAGCCTGTGTTTTCAAAAGTTCTGAATGTAGGAATAGAACATTAGCATATGCACAGTCTTCATGCAGAAAGTATTTTTTAGGCATATGTTAGATTTGAAAAAAGAATCAGGAGCACTGGGAAAATCTCTGGTACATTTTGAGCAAGATAGAATGTCAAAATGCAGCTGACATCATCTATTTAATTTAAATGGCTAATTTTATAGTCATTTTTAAGAAGTCTTTTTAAGGAGTTACTAACAAAGCTGAAATTATTCAAGATAGTGTGAGACATAAGAGAGCTAATAAAAGAGTTTGAAGGTGGTTTGTACATTTGAAAAACAGCAACAATGCTTATCTTTGTTCCTGAGAATATCCTAAGAAAACAATGGAAGGATCATTGGGAAAAAAAAACAATTCAACGTTCTCACTCAAGGCACAAATGATCAGGTTCAAACTATCCTTATTGTTGATACATTATCCAGGAGTAGCAAACTGCAGCCCAGAGGCCGGATGCATCACACAGGCCACGCCCACCCTAATTATGTGAAGGGAAAAACATCAATACGTCATGTGATGGCAACATGACACCACGAGTTTGACATCTGTGCATTATACAAAGGCTGGAGAAAGCGCTAGTGCCTGAAGAGTATGGAAGAAAAGATAGAGGACAATAGCAATAGCAATAGCAGTTAGACTTATATACCGCTTCATAGGGCTTTCAGCCCTCTCTAGGTGGTTTACAGAGTCAGCATATTGCCCCCAACAACAATCCAGGTCCTCATTTTACCCACGTCGGAAGGATGGAAGGCTGAGTCAACCCTGAGCCGGTGAGATTTGAACAGCCGAAATGCAGAACTGCAATCAGCTGAAGTAGCC